TTGGTGCTGAATATGGTTGTTCTTCAAGTTAATCATAAAGAATGGCTGGTTTCTCTATCTCTCTGTTTCTCACATCCAGTTGCTTGAGTAACTGTTCTTTGGCATATCTTATTACCTGGATGTCTAACCCTTACTGACATTAACTCATGTAACAATCCACTTGAAAGGAAGTCCTAGATACTGGCAACAATGCCATGTCTTTGGGGAAGAATCTACCTCCCACTGCCTCTACAAGTTTGAAATTAACTGTTCAGTGTTGCACAGAGAGCCAACTAGCTTGATTACTCAGTGGGGGTCCATGTCTCTTGAGGTAAGTGATAGTGTGGGATGCATCAATCTATGTAAGCCCAAAGGGAGAGGCGATCACATAGTACATGTAACGGTATATAAAATATCTAAATGTCACTGATGGGACATGCGGTTGCTTGTTTTGTATTGCAGATTGGTTCTAGCTATTTATTTGTGGTACCAAAAATAAAGGTGTGGCTTGTTTTTGGGCAACCATCAAATGCTTTAAGTTTAAAATTATGACGAAATGGGCAAAGACATGGCAGTAAATGTCAACATCAGACAGATTTCCTCATTGAGAATAATGCCACCTAATATTGCTGCTCGAAGGCCTTTATGATACAGAACTAGTTTTTTAATGTTTTGGATATTTTGTGGTTTAGCTTTTTCTATACTTCAATAATTTCTGCACTCTAAAAAAGCATGGCACAACATGATACATTTGATGATTAATGCAATTGAGAGAGTTGACAGATTGGGCAAAATTTTTGTCATGAGTGGCAAAATTCTGTCAAATGACAGAAAGACAGGCTAGAACAAGGGTCCCAACAGATGTCACTCATTTTGAGAGATAAAAAGATGCATGGAGCCTTTTCCTTTCCAATGTCATTGTCAACATTCAAGGTCACACCCCCATACTTCATTTATGACACAAAAGCTGACAGTGATGGATGAAATACAAAATTATTTATTTGCAAATTTGTCAGAGTTTTAATGAAAGGCTTGTTGTGGCATTACAGCACTAGATTCTCCATCAGCCAATATTTCTTACAATTAGGCCACACCAATTTAATTTGTTGGTTCTCGGATTTTTTCAGGAAAAATATGAAGCGACAGGGCGAAAAAAAATAAAAATAAAAACAGATGTAGGCATCCTATTATAGCCCCAAATGCTACGATAGGAGGTATGAAGTCAACACAAAAGGCTTGTTTAAAATTTAAACAATGAATTTTGAACTTCTAATGATACCACTGCATTGAAAGATGGAATAACTGTAACGACTAGCAAGAAAAGGACTGTTTTCAACTGTTCAGGGCAAAATATGAGCATTTTGCAGTTGATTCTGAAATTTTTTTTTTTTTTGCAAATCAGGAAAAAATGAAGAGGCGAATCCGAGAACCAACAAATTAAATTGGTGTGGCCTTAATTACTAAAATGTAATAAATTATTCTAACACTTCTTGTTTGCTTTAACATGATAATTATACTTTCTAAACTCATAGAATCAGTTTAGCTCATCTCAACAAATGGTGTACCACAGAGTTATGAAAGATTGAATTCAAGTTTCCAAATTTTTGTGAGTCTTTCATGGCAGAAGGGTGATTTCTTTTTTTCAAGCTTTGCCAAGATTTGCTGTGCAACATGAAGTCAGTTGCCAAAATTGAGAGACCAAAGATAAACACAGTATGTCAGGCTGACTGAATTCAAGTTTCCAAATTCTTTTGTGAGTCTTTTATGGCAGAAGGATGAGCTCCCTTTTTCAAGCTTTGCCAAGTTTTGCTGCTGGGCAACATGAAGTCAGTTGCCAAAATTGAGAGACCAAAGATAAACACAGTATGTCAGGCCCCGGTTTGAAGCTTCTAGAAATGGGAGGAATGTGGGGGATAAGATAAGATGTTTCATGACGAATCCTGACTTCCTCAGGGGTGGAGTGGAAACGCCTTATGGCAAGTTTGCCACCGTGGGGCATAATTAGGTTTGGAGGGCTGTGCATCACTGTCAGCACTTCATAATGAACTCATGGATCTCTTCATGACAGATGATGGAAAATGGTATATCCATCTGTGTTTGAGTAGATTTCAGAACTGGTATCATTTAAGTTTCTTTCCCGTGTTACATGTAGGCATAAAAACTGTTTGACTCAAAAATTACTTGACTTGTTTGAAATAGCCCTAAACAAGCTATGTGAGGAGCTCCTTTATTTTTGGTACCACCAATAAATAGCTAGAAGCAGCCTACGATACAAAACAAATCGTTTTCCATCTGATTCAGTAACATCACATTTTCGCCTCACAGATATCAGTATTCTATATGGGATAGGGTTACTACGTATATATTAAACAAGTGATTTGAAAATCCAGTTTTGTCACTTTGGGTGGCTTTTAAAATAACTATCTCTGTACCTGCTTACTGTGCAGTTGCAAAGAATAACAACTGCTAATATCCCAGATTGCATGTCATATAAATCCTATATTATAGTTTGACACTCTCTCAGTTTTACAGACAGTTTGGCAGTAATCCTTTGAGTGTATGAATTACCCACAGACAAAAACACTAATGTGTTGAGTCAGACTCATTCTGAAACCATGTACTGAGGCAAATTTACTCGGATCATGCAAGTTTCTTTAGTGCAGCTGTAAATTTTGTTATGACCTGAAACTACCGAGTTTCTGACAAGGACATAGTTGCATGCGTGACGACTAAATACCCTCCCCAGGCTACCTAAGTACCCTTTTATTCCTGCTGATGTAGACAAGATCTGAGCCCAAGTTTTGCTGTTTTTCTAAGACAGGTATCCATCAGGGAAAGGTCAGAGTTATTTACCTAAGCCTCGCCAGCGGCCCTTCATGTATCTTCCTGCTGACTTTGTCCCTAATTACATCAAAAGACGATGGATTCATCGCTGACAAAACATATCCTTCAGCTAAGTTACCTACTCATCAAACTTTCTGGTACACCAGAAGACGGAAGTGCCACAGCTTTTAAGCTGTCTAATCAGTTAGAAGGAATTCAATCACGATGCAGAATTTCCTTCTCATTACACATGTTTATTCATGTCATATATTATTGGTGAGGCCATACAAAGGAAAGCTCTTGTTTCTAACAAAGGTCTTTTGAAATGAATTGATGCTACCCATCATCATTATATGGCAATTTGCCTCTCCGAAAAGGTAGAAACTATGGCCTGGCTTTTGCCAACTCTCATTCAAACTTCCTATGGGTGGAACTAATAGATGCTACTCTCTGTCAATCTTGAGCAAGCTTTCTCTCCATTTGGAAATCTTTATCACAGCAAGATCCACATTTTGTACCAGCCTTACAACCATGTCTATTTGTATCTGTAACCGGTCAAGTTACCGTCTCATGACCCAACATGTGTTTTCTGATTGGTTAAAAAATATATACTGTGAGGCATCATCTTCTATACACACACGAATCACAACACCACAATCTGATACAAAATAAAATTGCTTACCAAGAGTCACCTATCAGTTTCTGTTATCTAAGAGGAAACTATGTTGTTTTCCGATCATGTTTAAGGATTGGGGGCCGATTTGAGACCGATTACGCCACAGAGCCACCTTTCCAGCTTAGCTGCCCTCAAATTTAACTTGAGGATCAAATAGACAGATCCTGGGGGTCGGTGGAAAAAGCAGTCCAGTCCGGGAGGCGGAAAAAAACCCCGACTGGACTGCTTTTTCCTCCAACCCCAGATCCTGGCTGTCCATTAAAAATAACCAATCGACTAAGTGCAGTGTCCTGCATATTTGTTTCGCATTTTGACTAGGGTAGGTTCGGCTCTGGGATTGGTCTATTATCTCCTGTTCTAATCTCTCTATACTCTGCTCTGGCCCAGCAAGGGTGATATGATTCGAGTGAAAAAGAGATGTAGTTCCATGCAGAATCCCAAAAATTTAAATTTCTTGCCTTGTCATTATACTATAATATAGTAAGAAAAGTGGAACATTCTACCAGTATTTTAGCCACAGCCCCTTACTCTACTTTTGCCAGTTTAATGTCCTTTTGATGATCGCTAACCTGACATGTTACATGCACAAGGCAACATAACGAGGGTGTGGAATAGGAAATAGTGCTGTCATCCATTCTAGCATGTCAGTTACAAGGTCAATTAGGAAATGCAGAGTCATTCCTAAATTGGTTTGCGGAGACGTGGCGTGATAGGCATCATGCCTGACATGCATCCTGAGGTGTCAGTTAATGTGAACACGCAATGTTTTACATAGGATATTACATGTACATGTCAGCTTATCAGATTATAACAGAGGTCAAGGACTCATACCTACGGTCAACACTCAAATCTAGTGAGATAACTGATGCTGATACAAAGGGACTGTCCAATTACAAGCTTTCTAACAACACAGAATGACGCTGAGTTTTGAATGTCTTTGCCCTGGCGTATATTCAATGAATTGGCATTTCTAAATTTTCATGAATAAAAGAAAAACAACTATTCTGCATCAACTGTTTTAATGTATAAGGAACATCCAACACTATGAACTACCATGTCTGTACTATAGTGTTGTGTCCCATTGAAACGCTGTTTTAACACACTTAAATGGACTACAGGGAATGATTCTAAACTTCCAGTAAAGTAATACTAAACTGAGAGTCAGAAGAATGTGTGAATATCAGAACAATTCAGGGTCCAATTCTCAGGGCCCTGCTTGTATGTACAATCTGAATATGACCACTGAAAGAAGAAATAGAACAGACACTGTGGTAGAAGAACTTTTTTTCAGTGTTTTGCAGTATTGCAGGATGTCAAATTTTTGTTCTGCAATTAGGAAGTCCAGACCTAAACCAATGGTTGCATGTTAGCAAACATCTTTATGCAATTTGAAAACTACTGATTTTTCTGTCTGCAAAATTGCAGGTTACTAATTTTTCTTCCTGCAATATTGCAAATGCCTGTAAAAATGCAGACTTCATGCGGGTATTTCTAACACTCAAGAAAGAAAATGAAAACGTACCTTGTATTTCTGCCGCAGCTCTTCCGTTTCCTCCTTCTCAATCTCCAGCATCTTGCGTCTCTCGGTAGTGCCCTCCACGTGCTCCATCTAATGCAGGGAAAACGTCACGACATGACAACCTTGCCTTTCTACCGGCTGGGCATGACAAATGCATACATTCTGCAAGTGCAGGGTCTGTACACTGGGGCAACTGAATCAGACATTTAGGCACCACCAAGTTAATTCTGGAGTCTAGTTTTGAATAAAGTTAGACTGGCAGAAATCTAAAACCTGGGAGCAAAAACTGGTACTGACACCAGGACTGTACAGTAGCACAATCACGTAAAATGTCAATATCTTGTTCATGAATCATTTTTTTCACAAACTTTAAACCGATATCTACAATGTTTTTTGTGTTTCTATCAATATTAACTCAGAGTAGCCTGGGTACCATCCTGATGGCTCTGCATTTTTTTGGATTTTGGCTCCGCAACGCAAAAAAAAAAAATGCAGAGCCAATATCAGGATGGCACCCAGGCTTAACTCAGAGGTCCTTAGATATCTTAGATGACTGTAAGGAAGGAAAAAGAGGAAATAGAATGACACTGACACTTCTAAAATGTAATTATCTTTTATGAATCATCCTAAATTTTCCAGAGACACACGGTTTGAAATTGTTGCAGCTTAGACGGTATCAGAGGAAACTGACATCAGCTGATAACCTAAGCTTTCAAATCTCTGCATGTTAAGAGGAATTCAAACAGTGTCAGAAGAAGTGTCACCAAATTTGAGAGCTGCTCCGGAGCTAAGGAACATGTCCTTGCAACAAAGTCAGTACAGGTTATCAAGAGCAGGTCATGCAAAGATCTGAATGCTTATGGAGTTTCTAGATCTGTTTAGATTATAACTATGCTATAATGCAGGTCAGTCATGGTTTCATACTGTTGGGTTTACTGTATGGTCCCTTTCAACATACCCTTTCAAAGGGCATGTAGGCAGAACGTACTGCGCCTGTGCGAAACCCTGATTTTTTTATTATTTTCGTTGGATTTTTGGTCAACGTTTCACCAGAACTGCACAATTTTGGAAACTACAGACAGGATGTTAACCTTATATACTCGAATACAACCTTATATGAAACGTCCTGCTGAAGTGCTATACACTAAACATTACAGGTTTTGTGCAGGTGCAGTATGTTCTGCTGATGTGCTCTTTCGATGGATTGATGTTGAAAGTGCTATTCCATGAACTGCACAATATTTCAGGAATATCATAATGGTTTCTTGTGGAAACAACTTTGTTATAACATGACAAAAAGTCACCATTATTTCTCTTCTACCATCTTTCCTGTTTCCTTTGGAAATCATCCAAAGTTTGTAAAAGCTTAATAATAATTTTTACAATCCTCCAATGTCTGGTATATTAAACTGAACGATAGGCATGACATTTAGCTAAACACCAGTTTGACACACTGTGATGGCAGTTCCTGCATTTCTGCAGGGATTGGAACATTATATCACAGCCAAACCTACCTGCAAAATGTTGTATAAATTAGCAGAAAGGTCGAGCATGAAACAAAACTCCCATAGCAAGACTTGTGAATGATCCATTAAATTATGATAAACTATTATGTACTATGGAGATACAAGTGTACTCTTACCTTTTGTGGGAGGAAAACTTCTGGGTGCAAATTTTGCAGTCTCCACAGTATCATTGTTTCCAGACTTACCACCACAAGCATACATCTAGTACACTGTACACTGCAACCACCCACCTAACTGACGCATACATGTACACTACATGTAACATCAATTATGATCTTACAATAAGGAAATCAAAATGTCACCCTAAAACTGCTATATATTTCCCTGTAATATCATAATCATTATGAGCCATAAACAGATCAGTCCAAAGCCTCGAGCTGTCGATATTTCCAGGTCCTAAGTGGAAAAGTACGGGGACTTGTTTGTGATAAAGGTTATAAAGCATGGGAAGCTGAATGTGTGTGATTTGACACCGTTGCAAACAAAGGCTGCAGCACTTGATGACCATAAGGGAGCTGTAGAACAATGATTGATCTGGCTCTCAGCCTGTCAATACGACTGATGGACTGCAGTTTTGCCCAGCCCTGGCACTAATTATGATGGAGTGATCATTCCTTCCCCATTCCACAACTGCTTGCAGGCTCTAATGGTCGCAGAAAATCACAGCAGCCCCGCACAAGGTCACGTGCGGTGGCAAGGGTCGGAAACAATTGGCTTGCATTTGCATGACCAAGGCTGGGTTAGCTTAACCAATTTTGTCACAGGTGGTTTGGGCCGTCACTTCTCTTCGATTGCCTCGTCTTTCATCAACTCGGAGCTGTCTTGTTATGGTCACCTCAATTTTTCCATCCCAAGGACAACTTCAAAATGTGTTCAATTTTGCATGAAAAAACACTTTCCGACTGAGGGTTACTCTGTGTCGTAAAATGACAAATGTTCTCATGTGCTGGGCTTACCCTGCAAGTTTTACTGAGACTCTTGGAGCCAACTACTGCCAGGTAAGCCCTCGGCAGGCCAAAGGTGAGTAATCATGAGAGTCTAATGTCAGTCAGGTGAAGACATGTGCTGCAGATATGGATAGCCCAGTGTCTCCACCAGTTTCTCCAGGCAATCCTAATGGGCAATGGGGCTTTGATCCATGATAAATCCTACACTTACACATAGTACATATACAGTTGTACGGCAGGGAATATAACCTTGAAGACACATGTAGCTGTAGTCTCTCTTTTTTGAAAAAGAAAAGTTAGTGGCATTTGGAAATCATTGATCAGGACTGCATGACATGTCAGGTGGCCAAATGGTTAAATATCATAATGTACCGTTCCTACATGTATGGGATATGGCATTATAGGCAAACTATAGCAAGTGACAGGTTCATAATGAAATATCTGACAACAATGCAAATCACAAATATTTGCAGAACCATTTTGAACCATTGAATAGTGCAGGATCTGATATATTGTACGAGTATTCTTGGAATATATAAAAATGAATCAACCTATACTTTTGCTTGAATGATAAACATGATCATAGCAGATTTTCTCTTTTCATGCTAAAGCTGAAGCAAATGAACTGAAAATTAAGCTATTTCCTGATACTGCTTACTGCTACAATTATCAATAGAACAGTCATGTAAAAAGTGGGACTGACATTTGATGCTGCTGTGATATAATCATGATTCCCACACATAGACAAACGATCCCTTCCAAACTCAGGGAAGCAGCAGTGCAATGTGACCAGTCCTCCTGAGAATTCAGTCATTAGGTAACACATCACTAATAGGACTCCCCGGCAGGGTGTATGAGAAACTAGGCTCCGTTCTTGATTGACAGTTCCCTTGTCAAATTGACAGATTGTTCGTTTGAGTGCATGAAATGGCTCCCAGTGGGGATTACGTGGCTTACGACAGAGTGGACCCTCTCGTCCCGATCGCAGACTCCTGGCGTCGAGCGTCATTTCGCAAAGCACAGGGTTTCGACACACCAGCGCACCTTATAAGATGGTGGCTTTTCTCTGACGTCAGTGGACCCGAGACAGAAACTGTGACTGGAAACCATCTTAACAGTCAATGGTAAGCCAGTATAGCTAAGCACAAAGGTCATTAACAGTAAACTGCCATATGGCAAAACACATTATTCTGTACTTAGAGTTGGTTTTATCTCTAACACGATGGGGGATTTCTCCTCTTGACAGGTTTGGTGAATACAGAGCCTGGAATACATGCTAAAGCTACCAGAAACGTAGGATCAACAGCTAATGACCTCCTCTTCAAAAGACTACAACCTCTACAAAACCTGGGGCGTGACTTGTAAATGTAACAGTAGTTACTGCAAGTGCAATAAGGACATTGTATGTTTTTCAAAAACAAATCAAACTCGACTTTACTGAATGAATTACAGAGATACTTCCAGATGTTTTGAGTGACATACGTCACTTTTCCTCAATGTCACTAAAATGAACTGAGAGAACTAGGCCACACATGAAGGAACTGGAAAAACCACAGACTTGAACATGACCGAGACTCGTGTCACCGTATAAAAATTAGGAAAAGGTAGACAATACCATCCTATGGTAAGACAATACCATATGAACTGCTACTGTCCCTTGGGTGGGGTTTCATGTACTCGAGAGTTCTACACGCAGTCCTCCCTTCCAGTTCAGGGTGGGGTTGTAGATGCCTTGAAGTTCATAGATGGCATCCTTAACTCTGCGCTCGTATATTGTACCACATGGTTCTTGGTCTAGAATGTCTGTGGCTTCCGGTCTAATAGAGTGTCCCTGATAATTCTGATTTGTCTTTGAATATTGTTTACCTGGATGTCTAACCTACATCAACGTACATTGTACATTAAGGCCATTTTCCGTTACCGGTACATGTCACCACTGACACCAGAAACATTTGAAAGTTTGGGGGTTAATTTTAGTACAATACCTCAATCAAATTGGTACCTCTGACACAACACTAACAGGTAATGAATGAAAAAAAATCCATTAAGTTAACATGTTCATGTTGACCACTTCCTGAGGCAGTCCAATTTCCCGGCCTACCACGTATGGTAATTGATAAAACTTTGGTGTGAAATAACGCCCACAAAAATGCATGTTGGGACAGAACACATGTGCCCAATATCGGCGACTCGCTGAGCCGTGACCTTTCCCATCAACCCCTGCATCCATCACCTAGGTAACCAAATCATGGCAACAGTGTGCAATGGGATTAATCTTTCCTAATTTAATCAGTCCATGCAGTATTAATCCATAAAGCCGGCCTGCCGGCTGCCACCCAGGCCGAGCGATCATCCCTCATCCTGTTCACAAGTAGTGTTCCAGCCTTTCAACAGCCGTGGCTCAAAAATACAAGGATTATCTGCCTTAATATCTGACACCATCAAAGTGGTTAACATACTACTCCATGTTGCAATCCTTGTTACTTTGTATATTGCTTTTGATTGAAAAAAAAGTTGATCATTTTGCTCTTGTAGTCCTTCGATGACATTTCTGCAGGGATTGGACACCATCAAAGTGATTATACTACTCCATGTTGCAATCTTTGTTTGTATATTG